CAAGCATGAAGACAGGAAAAACATCAGCACTCCTCTTTATCACAAATATAAACTGAGCAGTAAATATCACTCTAAGAATAACACTCCATTCCAACTGTGTTGGCTTCTGATATGGTGGACAGTGTGCCCATATTCTTCTTTTTGCCTATAACAGACACTGAGTTTGGATTTAACACTCCAGCCAAGAAACACACTATCTGGCAGGACACGCATGTACAGACATAGCAAGGTATGTGGCTGAAATGAGAGCAAATCACTACTGATCTGTGGGGCATCAGTCCCACATACCAGTGGTAGACCATGTCCATGCTCTAACATGGAAGCAGAACATGCTGAAGGAAGCTTTTTCTGGGTACCTTGTAAGTTTTTTAATATATCCTTCCTGTAAGTATACAGCTTATTATCACAGGCCCCATATGGCTCAGTAAATACCAAGGGTACAAGCCATGCCTTGGCTACTCAATCAGTGAGAGAAAGCTGAGAACCACCTACAGTAAGGAAGAACAAATGATCAAGAGCTGCCCTAAAAGCAACTTTCCTGCTGATGAAGTCTCATGAGAACAAGACTGGTGCCGCCCATGCACTGTGCAAGGCTGGTGAATCCAGCTGTGTGACAGCAGAACAAGGTTCTCTTCCAGGATTTCTGAAGCACCACCATGACTGACACAAATGCTCCTGCTGGAAGAAAGCCAACTATTAAGCAGGATTCCTTAGAATTTGGAGGTAATTTTAGCAGAACAAGAAATACAGAAGTTTGAGCAAGTCCCAAACACTCTTCCAGGACAAAAAAAACCTTATTACTTCATAGAAGTCCATTAAAACATTTCATCTAGCCTTTCTAATCCCTCTTAACAGATTTGCTTTATCCCAGACAGGGGAGCTAATCCTCTCCCACCTATCTTTATGATATGGAACTATAAATGAGAGCAAGTACTTTTCAGTAGTTAAGCATGATCCCATTGCAGAATACGCTATCATCCACACCAGCATTAGTGTAATGAAGCTGTCCTTAGTGAACCCACCAGTAGGGAATGTGGAAACTTATTTACCATCTGTTTCCAAAACACATTTCTTGCCAAAAGTTTTAAGGCAGTAAGCAAACCAAGACTTGAATTACAGCTTGCTGGAGGGACTTCCCTTTTTCCTTCATTGCAGACCTTACACGACACATTGCAGGACTATGCTGTGTAGAAGCAGATGGCAGGCAAATCCATCACTGACCTATACAATTAGGTTAGTAGGTCAGCTGAACTTGCCACCAAATTACACAACCATTTTATAGAGTTCTCTGTTCTTCAAGATAGGATCCTAAGCTATCTGAAAACAATTGAGAAATGACTGTACGACCAACATTGTAAAGATAGTCTGGCGCTCTACTGACATGTAGAAAGCAACTCAGACAGCCCAATTTAAGGCTGAAGAACTGAAATCTGCACTTCACACTCCTCATTACTATAAATCACATTAGCCTTTAGCAAACCCCATTACAACGAAACACAGGATCTCCAGCTGGTCATTCCAGGTGCTATCCTGCAGAAAGAACAGATTGTAAGGACTGACCACTTAGGGAATAATTAAAAGTAACTTTTGTCCCCTCAATCTGTGGAGGCTTACTTCATGCAGCTGTCAGCATGCTCAATTTTTTTCTGCTAAAAGGATATGATTTTCTCTCATGCAATCCTGTGTGGTCTAACACCACAAAATCTGTCTGCCCAGGACAAGTCTCAAGTCATTTCCATAACATAAGGCAATGTTCCACAGGACCTGCAAGTCAACTCAAATACCTCTACATGTGCATTAAATTAAGTACAAACACAGAACCTAACCGAAGGAAAAAAGAAACCCATCCCCGCCCCCCCACCCCCCCAAAAAAAGGAAACGGAAACAGCCCAAACCCTATTATTTGTATTGCTTTAACACTATCTTCTGCAGGTAACACCTGTCAACTAGAATACCATTTAAGGTACAAGGAGCTGTCGTCTCATTGTTCAGTCAATTTTTCCTCCTGAGGAACAGCAGTCTGAAGTTATTCCCAAAGTTTAGTTAGTAAAGGGAGCATTCATTAGTGTGATTAACTAGAGTGTAGGTTGTTGTTCATTTTTTTTTTTTTTTTTAACAAAATCTGAAACAGTGCTGCAACATAGCTCATGATAGAAGATAATAAAAGACAGTATGTTTGAGTTCCTTCAGGCTTTCATCTCTTCTGCTAGGAACCAGACCAAACCCCACATAAGTCACTTGGCTGAAACAAAAAAAGAGAGACAAGAGGTATGGAATACAACACTGTTCTTGAAGAGGAATATCTAACAGCCTTTAAGCAAACTTAACCAACACAGAACTGGATTGTACCCAGCTATGGAGAGGCAGGTGCCTCAGTATTTTTGAGTGTCTGTATACAGTCTCAAAAATGGTCATATATGACTAAAGGAGACCATTTGACAAGGATTTAATTGTCACCCAAGGGCTGTTTGCAGCTGCCACTGTTAGAGGAAACACTGGTGATAGCAAAGCAAGTCGCCTGCTCTTCAGAAACATTGTTGTCTTAGCTTTGTTTCATTTCCTGAAGAGTAAATCTCGGAAAGCAAACTTTGTATATGCACACTGCTGCCCTGCAAAATCCTCCCAGCCCATCAACTTTGTCTCTCAGAGGCCAGGAGAACAGCATCACTAACTGTATATACTGTTTCCTAGATGTAGCCAGGTGATGATTTCACTTTGTACCTCACAGGAGTTATCTAAGCCGTTTAATAAGGCATAAAGCTTTTCAAGCAGCTCATTATAAGACACTGGATCAGCTTTGACAGAATAACTACAAAAGCTGAGCTTAATCAAGTCATCAGTATGCTAGGAGTCAGAACAGCTTGAACAAGGCAATTTGAAGCAGCAGGACCTCAAAATGCAAGATACGACACATTTGGCAAGTTATTACTGGTTTTAGAGTTGAGTTTCTCTAGAACCACTTAGTCTGAAATTACATCCATTTAATAAACTTTTTACTTTAGAAGAATTGTGTTAGCCTTGACCCACATGAACAGAAGAATGAGGTTTCCCATTCACTCACAATGAAAAACTTTTTTGTTGAGTATGTGTCAAATGGCCACAAGTAGCTGTGACACTCAGGTCACCCTTGAGAGCTTTTAATTTAAAGACAGAAGATAAAGACAGTTGACACTGAAAAAATGTAGGGGAAAATAACCAAACAAGCCATAGACATGTTCAACACAAACACCATCCCCCAAAATTTCAACACTAGCAAACTGCAGGAACACAATCATTATCTTTTTATCCTGCCTCTGGCCTTTCTAATTAGGTTTGACCTTGGCAGATTCATTACTTCAACCGTTGTACAATTTAACCAGCCAAGTTCTATAGAGGAAAATTTAAAATAGGTTTACAGGTTAATTTGGTGTTCTTTAGGAAACAAAAAACCTGAAGTTATGGTTTCCTCCTCCACAAATGTATTTCTGAATGTTTTGGTAAATAAATAGGGCCTAGACTTCTTAGCACCGTTAAACACAACGCATACATTCAACAGTATTAAATATTCCAGAGCAAAAAATTTACTTGATATATAGGAAAAAAAAAAACAAAACAAAACAACCACCTTAAAATCAGGTAAACTAAACTAGAGCACAGACTAGTGGTTTTGAAGTATCAATAGGAAGCTATTTGCCACCTGACAGACCCGCAGGGAGGAGAAACCCCAGCAACACAGGCACATAGCTCACAACCTGTCATTGTAACAAAAGAATAAGAGCCATTTTCATTAATTAATATATATTCTGCATTATAGTTAACATATGTACTTTCTTCGTGTCATTCTTATTTAAGTATTGATATTTTGTTATATTCAGGCATGAGTACATTTTCAAGGTCTTTTGCAATAAATATCATAAAATAATAGAGATTCACATAATAAATATTCTTTACAATAAAAAAGTTTTAACAGACTTTTGTCTTAAAAATAGTTGGGATTCAACTTTGTTTTATACATAAAATATACAAAAAAGGACCACAATTTGTGGCTAAGGCAATAAAACAGGGGCAGAATAAATTTATAAAGTACAGAGCAGAGCTAAATTCACCAAACTGAAGGATGACAAGAAACAAGAAGGATTCAAGAACAGTTAGGTGACACAAGGTCACCTGAAGGCTGTTTGGACCAATGAACACCACCAACTTTCATATCAACTGATACTGATAGACTGAAAACAAGAGCAGGAGGGTGGAGTGAGCAATATCCTTCAAAGAGCTGACAGCAAAAGAAACAAATGGTATGCTGCAGCTCTAACATCTCCAATGTGAAGATCCACATAGTGTAGCAAAAAGTGAAGTTACATTGAAAAAGTATTAAAAAAAAAAAAAGAAAAAGAAAAAAATGGCAGGGTAATTCTCAGAACCAAGAATGTTCTGAAAGTTGAGACAAGAGAGGAGGGAAGGCAAAAACAAACAAACAACAAACAAACCAAAAAACATGCTGCTAATAGAAGAATCAGGCCTCTCACTTGGAAAAGCCTTTATTTTACATCCCTCTCCAGACAGGACACACATAAAAGAACTTATTTCACAATCCAGCTCACTCATGAAAGTTGTTCTTCCTTGGTACCCAGGGGGTTAAGTTAAAAATAACAGAATTGCTGAGAATGAAAAACATCTTTGGGAAGATATTCACAGAGCAAGAAACTTCAAGAGCTCAGTGAGCTCTCACTGTCTCTTTCAGGAGTGGTTGTTACAAACTCAAAAGACCCTGCCAAAGCAAGCAGCGGATGCAGATTCCAGGTCCACGCTTACCAAAGAGCAGCAATGACTATGTAAAATGCTCCACACCCAGCCAACAGGAAGAGGAGAGCAAAGATGCAAAGGGAAGAACTTGTGTAATTGAAGTTGGGGAGACAGAAAGGAAGAAAAAGAACAGCCTCCCCCAAAATGAGGGGTGGGGGAGAGGGGAAAAAAACCAAAACCAAAACCAAACCCCACCAAAAAAAAAATAAAAAAAAATCAGCTACAACCTGAAAAACTTAAGTTGAAGGAAGTAAACCTCCCTCCAAAAATCATGAGGGCTTGCCCTGACCGCGGGAAGGGCAGCTCTCCAGTTTACAATAGACCGTGTTGGAGTTCTTGCATCGGCACCCTGGACGATTGATGAGGTCGTAACACCCCCGACAAAGTTTTAGGAATCCTTTTGCAGGAGGGTAGCAGAGCAAGCAAGGCAGAAACAGTGACATCACTCCCATGCACAGGTACCTAGAACAGCAGTGTGACTGGGAGCAAGAGCAGGGATTATCCGCGTAAGAGTCCCCTTCATCATCATTAGAACAGTGGTAGAAGATCCCTTTGACCAAACACATGCAGGTGCTGTACTCCACCATGCTCTCTGCAGAGCACAAGCACTGTCGGTTGCAGGCCAAGCAAGAAGGAAGGGCCCTTGGGGCCGTGCACTCGCCACACTTGCACTTCCCACACTGTTCGCAGATAAACTTGTGCTGTGTCAAGTCCTCTTTCAAAGGACCCTTCAGATCATCTACAACTAGAGATGACTGCTTGGGCTGCGTCCGGATTGTCCGATCGGATCTGTGGCCTGACCCCGGCCTGAATGGAGGTGACCGTCCCAGCAGCCCTTGCTCTGAGGACGCACTGCTGTTGCTCCCAGAGCTGGCTGCGCTCCCTGTGCTAGTTGATCTGCTCAAGATGGGAGCCCTCGTGTTATTCTGATGCACCACATGCCCCACATGGCTGGGTCTGTGTTCGTAATTATTATTCACATTAATCGGTATAATTTCGTGAGTCCTTTCATGCTTCTCTTGCCTCGGTGCTGTCCGCGGACCAGACTTTTTAACCACAGATGGACCTTCGGTGTATTCATTGCTGCCCCTGATGGCCTTGATCTGGTCCAGTGACAAGATGGTTGCTGGCTGGCTCTCTCTGTCATAATCCAACCGCTGCCGGCTATCCAAGGAGGGCTGCTGAATCACCATTAGTGAGCCACCACTGCCATGTTGACTTTGGGGCTCCATCTGTAGTGATCGCTACTTCTGGCATTCAGTGGGAACCTGGCATGCATCTGAAATCCTAAAATAATAATAGCAAGACAGAAGGTATAAATAAACATTGTATGTGTACATGTATACACAAATATACAAGAAGAAGAGCAAAAGAAGAATAAAGAACAGGATACTTTTTGAAAACAGAAATGATATGGCAAACCACAAATTACCCTAGCCACCTGGTACTGATCTCTTTCAGCAGGGGATTACAACAGTGCTGAGGACCTGGCCAAAATCCAATAATGGGGAGAGTCTGAGTATGGCATCATAGGTGTGGAATGCAAGGAGACCCCGTGCCATTAAAAAAAAAAAAAAAAAAATTTCGAGTACTAACCTGTACAGTTGGCAAGCCATGCAAAGTGCTTCTCACTTGCTACTGAACTCGACGCTGAAACAAGGACAGTCTGTCTAACTAGCAATAACAGTGCTGAGAATGCCCCTCAAACCAAGCTGGAAAAGGGCAGGAACATAGTCTGGGTCGTGGTCTGCGTGGTAGAATGAAGAAAGAACCTGCGCAATCCTCACTCTTCTGTCCAAACCTGCAGCACCAGCACTCAACAGATTGGCATTGGGGAAGTCTCCTTTTTAAAGTGATGTGTGTGCGTTCAAGTCTTGAATGAAGGTCTGTCAAATGGCCAAGGCATTTTCCACAGGGGAGTAAGTTAATATACAAATCTAATATGCTTAAAAAATTAAAGCAAGGGTGCAAACAGCATGTTTTCTAGTATTTTGACCACAGGCCACCAGGTGAAAGAAAAAGGGTAGAAAAGGCTAAATAAGTACATCTTCTAGACTGACTTTTAAATAAAGATTACATATTGATTCCTTTTAAGTCTGCCTAGTTATCAACATGAAGATCAGAACACCATTGAGAAAACTGCAGTGATAGTTCTGTACCTATATGAAAATTCAGACAAGCTCCCTGAATGCCACATTTATAGAGAGAACGAAGGAATAAAAATAAATAAATAAAAATAATAATAAAAAAAAGAAACAACAAAAAAAATACGCATGTTATTGACAGTCTGGGAAAAAAAGACCCTTTTCACTTGTCTGAGATGTCATGCATGTTTACCTGAAAGAGGAGAAATGCAAGTGCTATCAAGAACATCCAAAACTCATCTGATAATCACGAGAAAGAATCTGCCTTGTTTATCCAAAGCACAGCCACCACGGAGCTGCTCCCCACTCACGAAAGAGGCAAAGTGAGAGCAGGAAGGGTTTCTGCTAACAGGTACTCAGCATCTTCATCACCCTGACCACTAATAAATGGTAAGCGACAGCTTCTCCCACGACACAGTCATGGTGCTCACCTCGCAGTCGAAGATTTCATTTCACATTTAGTATCTACTCTGTGGGCTTTAGGGTGGCCAGATAAATGGGAGTTAGGGAAAACCAAGTGCGCCCGCTTCTGATTCACCCCACAGAACGAGCTGCCCTCTTCACCAGCGCCGAATACAAACCCACAACAGACCAAGGGTGAATGAATGTGAACAGTGAAAGATTTACAGCTGGATCGACTAGGAGCTGGGCTCCCCAGGGGATGAAGAATAATATCCCAAGGAAATGCGAAAGACATTCAGTACCATCTTTGGGGGAAACGCGCAACATCAACACGGCTCGCAGACTGACAAGACCAACTGCACAGTTCAACAAACCATCTCCACCCCGAGCAAACAAGTTTTAAAAAGCCCCCCTTCAACCCCTCCCCGGCCAATAAAATACAATAACACGGCGAACACGCCGAGGAACCTCACGTTTCCGCACTCAAAGCCGCACAGCTCGCGATGCCTCCGCCGCGGGGCAGCGCTCCCGCCCATTACCTCAGCGATTCTCCCCCCCCCAGCCCCGGGCGGGCGGCGGCGCGGCGCCCTCTGCGCCCCGAGCGGGGCGAGGCGCGGAGCGGAAGGAAGAGGAGGGGAAAGAAGGGGAGGAAAGAAAAAAAAAGTTATGAATGAAAACAAGGGCTTTTTTTTTTTTTTTTTTTTTTTTTGCCCTCCCCCCCCTTTCCCTGCTCCCCCTTTTTCAGAGGAGGGAGGGCAGGACCGAGGTCGGCGCTGCCTCAGGAGGGCGGACTTCTCGGCGTTTAAAGAGGCAGCGCCCGGCCAACCAGCCACTGCAGCACCCGGGATGCCCCGCCACAGCACCTCAGGGACCACAGCACCCCACGCCAGGCGCCGCCCGAAGGGGTGTTTGGGGTCGTTTTCACCGTTCTTCTCATTTTCAGCCGCCCGCAACGTTCACTCCCACACAGCAGCCCCCCCCACACGTCCCCTCAGGGCACCGGCTGCTGCGGGATCTGTCACACCCCCCGACCCACCGCGCCGGGCCGTTTCCTCTCGCAGCAGCCCGGTCCCTGTGCGCTTTCCATTCTCTGGGAAAGGGTCCGGTGTGGGGCTGCGGTGCCCGCGCCCCGCCAAGCAGGCGCTGCGCCTGTGCGCCCGGCGGCACCTGCTCGCGGGCTGAATGCCCCGGTGAGAAAGTAAAGCGCGACGAGCGCCCGACTTACTTATTTCCAAGGAGTCACTAGTGATGGGAAATCCCCCGTTCGAGGGAGGTAACTCCGCAGGGCAGGGTAACGGTGGGGCCGCGTCCCCGGCTCCTGGCCCTCCCGGCCCCGCCGGGCGGGGGAAGGCGGGCGTGCTGCGCTCCTCGTCTCTGCAAAGCCCTCGCCGACCTTCACGTCCTACTCAGCGAGCGGAGGAAAATCCAGCTATGCTGCGGTCCGCAGTACTCCTGGCTCAGGGGTCAGCATTCAGCGGGCCGCTCTCCCTTGACGCGCTCTCCTGCCGAGCCAAAGTCCCCCGAGGGACGCAGCTCTGTCCCTCGGCGGCGAGTGTCCCGGTCTAGAGGCGGCGAGGAGCAGATCAAGCCGTTTCCCTGCAAGCAGTTTATCTCGCTCTAGCGCCGGACAGCGGGGTCGGGCACTGGTGAAGAAGGTCTCCAAGCAGGGGGACGCGGGGATCCTGCTCGGGCCGTGGTTTCCCTTCCCCGGCGGGGGCAGTCCCAGACGAGCCCTCCCGGGCCCGGCGCTCGGCTTCACCGCACAGTTCTCGTCGCGAGTCCCTTCGGGCAAAGCGCGACCACAACCCCTAGTGCAAGAGATTATGTAACTTTTAGGAGGTAAAACACCCACGAAGAAGCACTTGCTTGCAATATGCGCGCTTTCAATGAGCACCCCGGTGAGCTGCAAACGAAGGCAGAGCGCAATGGCTCTGCAAGCTGGCTTCAAACTGCCATGTGCTTGTTGTTGCTGCCGGAGTCTGCCCGACTGACTGACAGACTTGGAAGCAGGGGCAGCGCGTCAAGAAGACCGGGCAGCCCAGAACACAGAAACCCTCACACGGAGGTTTCCGGAGCCTCCTCTCATTTCGCGGGAATCAAGCAAGGCTCCAGCACTCAAACGCGACCTCGCGTTCAGCACGGCAGGCAATCACAGAACTGCAAGTTTTATCGTTACCAGCAAAATGCAGCTGAACACTGCTCACCAGAGAAGCCAGGTCACCCGCTGCCCCGCACCGAAAACCGGGCGTTCGGCGCCGAGGAGTGGAGCAGCGAGGCCAGTCCGCCGCTCGCCCGCACCTCCACACGGCGGCGGCCAGGCAGCGCTCTGCTCCGCCTCGCCTCTCCCCGCGGCCGCCCCATAGCCCTTCGCTCGCTCGCCCGCCCGCCGGCCGGCTGCGGAGCCCCTCGCCGCCCGCCCACACCCCCGGCACCTGAGCAGCGGGGAGGAAAGGCGCCCAGCACCGCCTGGGCTTACCTACGGCCGAGGTGAGCGCCTGCTCCCCGGGGCACATTGGCAGCCCCAGCACGGAGTCCAGCCCGGACAGTGCAGGCAGTCGCGTAATCCCGCGCCCGCTCCGCGCCGTCCCAGAGTGAGTGCGGCCGCGCCCGGCCGCCTTTCAGCGCGTAGCCCCCGCCCGCCCCGCGGCCGCGCCCCCGTGATGTCAATGTGTCACTCCGCGGCGCCCCCGAAATCCCGGAGTGGACTTCCCGCCCTCCCGGGAGCCGCTCCCGCATAGGTCACGGCCACCGGCCACTCTCGCCGGACAAGTGGCCCCACCGGTAAGGCGCCGGTGCGTATGTGCGCGGAGAGCAAACCCGTGCCCCGCCGCCGGGCCCGTAGCTCGGCTGGCGGCTCCCGCCCCGCGGTGGCTTGTCCCGGCAGCCGCGGCTCTTCGGCCCCGGCGCCGCCCCCGGCCGGCAGGGGGAGCGCGGAGGAGCGGGTGTCGCTCCCGCCTCATCGGGGTGGGGGAAGGTGGGAGAGGCCGACCCGGGCCCGGCGGGGTCAGTGCAGGTGGCAGAGGTGGAAGGGGGCCCCGTACGGCAGCAGACACGTCGGAGGGCCGGCCCCCCTTGCCGCGGGGCTGAGGAAGGATGCGCTGATTTAGGCGTACCTGCTGACCAGAGACTAGGCTGTGGGGCTCGAGTCCGCAGGCTCTGGTACGTGTTTTAGCACCGGCGTCCTTCAAGCATGGTCTAGCCAGGTGGCAAAGCTATTCCTTTATAGCCATAAAAAGTTTTTGCTTCTTTCAGCCTAACAAAGAGCTAGCCGAGGACTTGAGAAAGTGTTTACCCCTGTGATAGGAAACGGCTTTTCTGACCCATTTACAGATGGCACAATTCACGTGGTTGTCCTTCTCTGCCACCTTCCCATCCCAAACTCTTCAAGTCCCATCCAAACGTCATCACTACATTTCTGCCACAGTGCTGAAGAGACCACAGTGATGCCTTCTGACCCATTACTTTTGTGGACAGATATTATCTTTGATGTACGTTGGGGGTGGTTTGTTTGGTTTTTTAAGTGCCTAAAGAGTATTAAAAGGCAACTGCAAGAACATGGAAAAATGTCGTGAGAAGAAATCAAAAGTCTGAGAATTATTTTACAACAACATGCTATGCCTTGGAATAGTTGAGCTTTCTAGTGCTTGGCTGAAAATCACTGTAGCCCCAAGTTTCTCTGCAATATT